GCTCGAATCAGGTTCAGACTTTAGAGTTCAGACATGACTCTAGAATTCAGGCATTCAGATACGACTCTAGACGTTAGGATCTTCCTATATGACTCTAGAGCTCTTCAGGATTCATGTCAGTATTTATCGGCCACTTTTGGCAACTCGTCAAGAGATCTGTATGCCTTAGTAATCAGTCAGTAATGTTATCACGTATTCAGTAATATTAAATTTTCTCAATGTTCAGATGCCGCCACGTAGGGAGCCCGATCATCAGGTTCCTACTCAGGCTATGGTAGTCGCTCAGTTCCGCGACTATCACGCCGAAAAGTTCTCAGGACAGGGAGACCCCCGTATCGTTGATGAATGGATTCAGGGGTTGGATTTTATGTTTGAGGTTATGGAATGCCCCGATAGGTATCGCGTAGTTTGCGCTCAGCTTCAACTCACTGGTGATGCAAGGCTCTGGAACGCCTACTGGAGCATGCGTCCCGGTGAAAAGGCGGGTTGTACATGGGACATGTTCAAGGAGTTAGTCCGCGACAAGTACTACCCTTCCTACTATCGGGCAGAAATGGAGCGCCAGTTCTTAGCGCTTCAGCAGGGTACTCGTACAGTCGATGAGTACGAGCGAGAGTTCACCAGACTTGCAGGTTTTGAACCGGATCTTGTTCGCACGGAGGCCCAGAGAGCACAGCGGTTCATTGACGGACTTTACCCAGCAGTCCGTCATAACATCGTGGGACACGGGACTCAGACGTACGCTCGTGCCGTTTCTATCGCCTAGGAGGTGGACGCTAGTATCAGGAGGGAGGCAGTCCGTGATCGTGCTCAGCCATCTGCCCCAGCTCAGCCATTTGCAGCCCCACCAGCTCTACCAGCTCCTCAGCTAGCAAAGGAGAAGAAGAGGAAGGCAAAGGGTACACAGTTTGACCGGAAGACCCGACAGAGACAGCAACCGATTCCACCATGCCCGACTTGTGGTCGACTTCACAGGGGAGAGTGTCGTGCTAGACAGGACATCTGTTATTATTGCCAGGAGCCGGGACATTTTGCGAGTCGTTGCCCGAAGAAACTCCAGCAGCAGCCTCAGCAGCCACCACAGCAGCAGCAGCCACGACAGCAGGCACAGAGGCCGCCTCAGCAGCAGCAGCAGCAGAGGGGCAGACAGCAGGCCAGGGTTTACGCAGTTGATCAGGCCGAGGCCGCTCAGCAGCCAGGTGCTATGTCCAGGATGGTTGTTCTCAATGATATTCTTGTGTTTGCGTTATTTGATACTGGAGCGACGCATACCTTCATTTCACGCCGATGTCTCGATGCCATCGGAGTTCACGCTGTTACCGCTGTCGATCCTCTCGATGTGAGTCTAGCCTCGGGACGAAAGATAGTGACCTCAGCTAAAGCCTCAGATCTTAGCCTTTCCATCGGTGGCCGAGTATTGACTGCCGACGCGTTCGTTCTCGAGATGAGAGACTTTGATCTTATTCTCGGGATGGATTGGCTATCCTTCTATCGCGCAGATATCAGATGTCATGATCGGGAGATCACCCTCTATCTTCCGGGAGACGAGTCGATTACTTTCTTCGGCTCCATGAATCGTTCACTGCCTCATGTTATTTCGATGGCGAAAGCCACTAAGCTATTGCGACGAGGCAACTGCCAGGGTTATCTGGTAAGCCTTGTCGAGGATTCTCAGAGAGCGCGGAAACCTCATGATGTTCCAATCGTTCGCGAGTTCGTGGACGTATTCCCAGACGAGCTTCCAGGAGGACCGCCCAACCGTCAGGTGGAGTTTTCTATCGACCTTATCCCAGGGGCCGGTCCAGTATCCAAAGCCCCATATCGCATGGCGCCTAAGGAGTTACAGGAGCTTAAGACCCAGATTCAGGAGCTATTACGACTCGGTTTCATCCGACCGAGCGTGTCACCGTGGGGAGCACCCGTTCTCTTTGTTAAGAAGAAGGACGGATCTATGCGTATGTGTATCGACTACCGGGATCTTAACCGGTTGACGATCAAGAATAAATATCCGCTCCTCAGGATCGACGACTTATTTGATCAGTTGAGGGGAGCCTGTGTATTTTCAAAGATTGATTTGCGATCAGGTTACCATCAGCTGAAGATTAAGGAGTCAGACATCGCTAAGACCGCTTTCAGGACTCGTTACGGCCATTACGAGTTC